AGGCTGGGGCAGGCAGATAGTTGCAAGTTTCAGATCAGCCTGGGCTACAAAGTGAGCTCAAGGCCAGCCTGAACTGCATAGTGAGACCCTGTCTCAAAAAGACCAAAACAAGGGGCTGGGGATTTAGCTCAGCGGCATAAGCACCTGCCTTGCAAGCAGGCGGTCGTGAGTTCGATCCCTGGTACCAATATAAAAAAAAAAAACAACAAAAACAAAAAGACCAAAACAACAACTACAACAAAAAACTGTTAAATGAGATTAAGTCCAAAATGACCTTTAGACAATGCCTATACAATACAAAACTTATTCTTGTTACTATTTTTTGCCACTATTTAAATGTATTCAAGTCTTTTTGGACATTGCTTTTCCCATTTCAGTTCTTGCTACCAACTCTATCCAGAACCCTGTCATCATAACCTACTCCTAACTCAGCAAAGTTGTGCTTCTCACCAATCCCGGTTCCTGCCAAAGTTGTCTCTTGTTAAATACATCTCTCAGTAGACATGCCTACTAATTTATATTTAGTGTTTAAGAACATATTTTACAAGACAATTAATAACACCCACATTATTTTTAAATTCACTAAAACCAAAAGGGATACATGCTTTCAATTTTAAACATAAGTTTGAGCCCAAATTTTCATTTTCTCAGGCCATAAAAAACAAACCAAAGACAATGTTTCAAAACAATCATAACCCAGTTATAGACAAAATGCCTAGTTTTCCAAAGTTTAAATTTGTGATTTGTTACTGATTTCCTACATATACTTTCGGATGGAGTAAAACAAAAATAATGTGAACTGTCATTTTTGGACCACAAGTACAAGGCAAATTTTACAACTTCCATTTGAAAATTCGGAAATTAAAAAATTAAGTTGCCAAGTATTAATACTAATTAAAATACTTACATAAGTTTTTCTCTTAAAATTTTTTAAAGATTTAAAACAAACTGTTACATATAAGCAGATTTTGAAAATATGCAAATGAATTCATATTAAATTCTCTGACATAAATTCTCATGAAGAGTAAATTTATGATGAGAAAAGCTCAATTATGACTACTGCTTTTTTCTTCATTTTCACCTCTTAAATCTTTAGAATTCAAGTTTTCGATGGATCCAAAATAAGAGCAAAAATATTGGGTGTGGTGGCCCAGCCTGTAATCCTAGCACTTGGGAGGTTAAAGCAGGAAGATTGTTGCAAGTTTGAGACCAACCTGGTTTACAAAGTGAGCTCAAGGCCAGCCTGAACTGTATAGGGAGACCATAAAAGAGCAGAGTTACAAAACAGCAGCAATATTCCCTTACACATATATCATCTTGAGGACAGCACATTTCAAATTCTGTGAATCCTTTCAGTCGAAGGGACCTCCTGACAACAATATCATCCTCCCCACTACCAACAGTCCTTCACCAAGGCTGCTGTTTGGGAAAATCTCAAGTGGAGCTCCTAATGTTAATATTATGGCCACTTTTTGGAGAGTAAATGGACAGGCTATGAAGGAGAAAACCAACAAGACTACCAAAGCTGCTACATAGCTCTTGGAGTATAAGACTAAGTTTGTCATCAAGACGCATAAATGTGGGTCTATCAGATCCACATCTGATTCTAGAATATGTCTACTGATGAATTATTAATTATAATTTTTATGAGCTTTATTATAGTCAACAATGAGTACTTAACAGAAAAAAATCACTATAATAAAGTACTGAGTTTCTAATATTGTTTATAAAAAACCATTAAAATTTCCAGTTTTGACCAGTTTTTAGTATACAAAGTCTAAATAAATTCCCATACAATCCACAATGAAATTATCAATAGCACTCTACAAAAGAATATTTACTTCATATTATCACACTTACGGCAGTCTGAACAACTGCACAGTAGATAATCATGCATCACTTCTATTGATAGCACATGTCTTTTGCTTTCCTGGTCTTTTGTATAGGACATCTCAGTGGTCTTGCCGTTTATAACTACACATGTTATACAGTGTGTAGTTAATAGATGCATAAAATATCAAAATAAATACTTAATATATATTGTGCATTCAGAACAGACATCAACGTTTTTCAGATCAGATGTGTACTTCCTTACAAATCTAAAAGCTAACATGAAAAATAAGTTCCTATATGAACTGTAATGAAAATACTAATGAAATTCTACCACAAAAATAAGCTTTGCTTCAACTGTCACACCCAGGAAGTCTTCACATGTGACAAAACTGTATATTCTATATTTAAGTATGGCTTACCCTGATACAGTATGTTTTATTTTCCTGTCCTTTGTTGTAGGGCACAGTTGACACCTTTTTTTGTTTTCCTGTTGTTGTCATAGGTCTTCGTGAAGCTGCGCCTGCCATGTTCACTTGTCAGCTCATCAGTGTGCTCCACAATTTTTTTAGTTTAGTTCCTAGCCAGGAACATATTATGTTTCCTTTGCTGTAAATGATCTCCTATGAGCTCTAGTCCCAATCCTTTAAGAAAGATTCTCCATGATACTTTACACTTCTTGTTTTCTTTGTAAACTATCAAACCATTTATACCACACATTTAGGGGCCAGTAAGACACAACCATTGGCCAATACTTTTTGTTCCAAGTGACATCACAGTTGCTGCATAACTCTTCAACATCTACTCCACGTTTGGGTTTATTGTTGAAAGTTTCCAACTCAGGCTTCCGTTTTGTTGAGGTTTCCCCATCAATATTTCCATCATTGTGAAATGTTGACATGAGCAGTACCCGTTTGCTTTTCTTTGCCACATACGCAGCCAATGTTATATCTTTTTGAAATTTAAAGTTTGTGCTATACCATTACCTGTTTTGAAATTGCAACGTTTCATTTGGAATTTCTCATTTGTTACTGTGCATAGTTCTTGCACTGGTCAATTTGTACTATTATCAAGTGGAAACTGGTAAACCAATTGTCATACGTCACATTCCCATTAGTTTGGGAAATGGGAGCAACAAGCTTGTACACATCATCATTCAGTTTATTACTACATAAGTAATGATCTGATGGCTGAGTTCCAGGAGAAATATTCAAATTGAAAGAGTAATAAGTCTTCCTACCCAAAGGAAAGGCAAAGGCATACATTTTTATGCCATATTTTGACCCACTGATTTTCCTTAAGTCTTTGCCATTTCTGCAGTCATAATGAGAAACCTGTGCCAGATACAAATGTGTTCAACTAGTGAGGTGTCCTAACAAAAACACTTTTGAAAACGGCCACTGGTGTATACAGAACATTTTACTTGAATTTCAGCCTGTTTTTTTTTTTTTTTCCACAGCATCTTGTAGCATTTCATCTATTACAATTTCCAACACTGGTGGTAGTGATGGCATTGCATCCAATACATTTCACCCCTGCCAAGAGTTTTACTGCATTTTTGGATCTGGTTCTAACATTGGATTGGACCATTAGGTTGTGTGGCCATTTTGCAACACTTTTACTAGTGAAATATGTACTGATACTGCTGTTTTCTTTTGCATCACTCGAATCAAGGTCTGCATTCTCTGTGTCTATATCAGTCAATTCTTGCTCCATTTCACTGTCACACGAATTTTAGCTCACATGGGCCAACGTCAAAATCATCATCATCATCCACTCATACCACTATTCTGTTATAAAAGCATGTACTTTACTATAATGGAACATTTCCATCATTCATACATAATAAATTTGATGATTCACTTTTGAACACCTTCAAAACTGATTAAATCTGGTTTTTCATGTGCCATTATATGGAACTGAGCTACTTCTATTAGAAAAGTCAAAAGAAAACTTTAACAGATACTGGAGTAGTGTGAGTCTGTTGGACCCTCTGTGATGCTCAGGTACACATATGTAAAAACAGTTGGAGAGAGAATAAAGGTGGGTCCAAATCTCATTTTTACTCTTTTGCACACATGCATGCCCCTTGCCGTTTGTCATACCAAATGGGTAAACACATAGATTGCTTCCTGTATCCCTCAGGGAAAGGTACTAAGAGGCACAGCTGGTTATCAGAATGCTAAAGTACAAATTTACAGTAGCAAAGTAAGAGATGGGTCCATTGGATCCAGGTTTATGTCAAGCTGATGCTCTGAACGATGGGAGAGGGATCAGAAAACCAGCTCAGATCAAGACATACTTTTTCCTATAGTACACATCTTTTCCCTATAGTACACAAAGACGTGTACTATTAAAGTAGGAAGTGGTCTGACAGTATCTAACTGATTATGGAAGATAAATTAAAATTTCACTTAGTACTTACTCTATAATAGAAATACAATACAAGTTATGTAACTTTAATTGCTGCTTCTGTGTCATAAGGAGCACTGACTGCTATATACCATTATATAGATGGGAAAATCTGCAGACCCAAGTAAATTGTCAAATAATTGAATCTGCAGGGTTTTAAATGGTTTATCTTTTGTGAATACAGGAAAGATGTGCTTAATAACATATTAGACCTAAAAGTAAAGTTTATTGGGTTTCACAAGTTACCACCTCTCAGGTACAGTATTTCTAGAGCAGAATAAATATCAGTTTTAAAAGGTAGGTTAAGAACACCATAGTTTGGAGTCTAATACTCCCATGAACCAGGAATGTGATAAATTATGGTTTCTTCTGTTGGGGAAGGTCTACCATAGACCAGTTTCCCATCCAAACCACAAAAAGAGGAGGAAAACTTCAGCTGAAGACCTTAAGCAAGAAAGCAACACAATAAAACACAGGATTTTGTCATGATTAACAAAATCAGAAATCTGAAAACATTTCAGAGCCAAATCTTTAGTAAATTTCAGCTTTTAGTTACTGGACCATTTATGGATTAACAACTCAAGAAGGCTATCAGATATAGCACGTTATTTTGAAATAAAATGCCTCCAAATGAAATTGCATAGAAAATTAACACCATTTACATTTCTGTTTCTTTTTTAAAAAATAATAATCATTTTCCATGAGTTTTACCAAAGCATAAGCATTACTATGTAGGCTAATTCCAATGTCTTGCTCACCTGAGGCTGAGTTCATCAAATTCTGCTGCACTGGTGGACTGGTAGGGGCTGTAACATTCATCTGAGAGAGCATGGCCTTCCTGGGGTCCTGCCATGTTGTTGTCTGATCGATGTGACTGAGACAAAACAAATCACAGAGTTAGGTAACTTTGATGTCCTAAAAGCAATTGTCCTTATCAAAACAGAGTAGCTATGTAGGTTAATGATCACAGGACGCTGAAAGAGTTCTGCAAAAGCAGTCAATTCATCTCATAGCTCCTAAACTTTCTGCGCAAGACGTAGTTCACCATGCAATCATTCAATGTTTACCTCTTAGATCTTTCAAGTGCAAGGTTTGAAAAACTTATGCATGGAAATTTAAGTGAGCAGAAACCATCTTCACCTAATAGGAAATTATTATTCACCACTAACTTAAAAGATAAAATGTAGTTTATAAATTAATCATCTAAATAGTAATAGAACTAAAACTCAAGATTTCTGAGAATCACTTACTTTTTCTTCTAGATCTAAAAATGCCAAAGCATATCAATTTTATGTCTAAAACTTCTTTTTTAAAAGTAAAAGACAGGAGGCTGGGGATTTAGCTCAGCGGCGTAAGCACCTGCCTTGCAAGTGTTCGGTCGTGAGTTTGATCCCTGGTACCAATTTTAAAAAAAGAAAAAAAAAAGTAAAAGACAAAAAAATCCAAGAGATTTATCGTAACATATACTCAGAAGCCAAGACACAATTTAAAATGTCATCTATAAGTTTTCAGTGTCTCCTAGGAGTTCAACAGGTCTCTACACAAAACCTTTTGTTAACTTTGTTATGTCTCTCTCTGGCTTTCCTGAACTGAACCCAGGGCTTTCACACTGAACCACATAACAAGCCCTTTCTTGTTAATTATTTTGAGAAGAACTGTTCCTGAGTTGCCCAAGTTGGCCTCAAACTTGTGGTCTTCCTGTGTTGGTCTCTCAAACTACTAGGAACACAGGTGTGTGTTGTTACTAGACCTACCAACATTTTTTTGACATACTAATAATACTGCAAAACATATGTATGCATATAGATTTCTACATAAAACTGGGGATGAAAACAGCTTAAGGTTATATGAAATATAAAACTACAAGACATCTTAAACAATGTAGTATACAAGCTTTCAATAAAACATTTTCTAGCTAAATTTCATTGTTTAAGTGAAATCAACACTTAATGTATAAAGATATCATTATACAAATAAAATTATATGAACAATTATCCAGAAGAAATAGCCAGATTACTATTCAAAAGATTTATTCATAAAGTTCTCACTATCATTTTTATTAGCAAAAGTCTGAAAAACAGAGAAGATTAAATAAACGTGGTTACATCTGTACTACTATGTGCCCATAATATTTCAGAAGAACATTTAATGTGGAAAATATTCATAATGTAGCTTTTATAAGTAGGCTATAAAAAGTTTATATAGTACACAAGGCTGTTTTTTAAATGTGTGTGTGCAGTTAAAGTGTATGGGAAGAATTGAAATTAAAACTCTTCACAATAAAATTTCTAGATGACTTAGAATGCTGCTAAACTTATTACTGAATAATCAAGAATTTACACTTTAAAAAAAGAAACAGAAAATGGTTAATTTTTAAAAAGAAATCCTACAAAATATTTTTTGTAGCTGTCTAACTTTTAAGGCTGAGTTCTCTTTTTCTCTGAATCATCCTATGACAGCCATGTAAACAGTCAAGACCTAACACTGTCATTATCCTGAAATGAAACTAGAATGTCATCTCATCAACAGGATAATGGACCCTAACTTAGAATTTGCCTCTTCTTATTTCTTCAGCAAACAGAAAACAGATGAAAATAGAAGGTTTAAATACTTAGAAATGATAATAACAATCTCACTTTAAAACTATTACAGAACAAGCATAAATGTGAAGAAAAATGTTCAGTTAGTGCAGTATATTGCCACTTATCAGCACCTCTTGTCTTACCAGTGGCTGTAACTAATCTGCAGTAACAACATTAGCATCTGCTCAGGTCTAGACAACATGTGCAATATTTTGTTCAAGTTTTGCTAAGTACCTTATTCTAAAAGATCAAGCCTTCACCAAATCCAGTAATGATTTATTCTCCTCCCTTTTCAATCCTCCACATGTTCCATCCGTTCTGGTACATATCACTTAATAGTAACAAAGTGTAGGCCTCTCACCCCCAACCCCAGTGCTGGTGACCAAGCACGGGGCCTTCTGCATGTTGGGCTAGAGCTCACTGAATTATACCCAAAAAGGCCTCCTTCCCGTTTTATAAGTAAGTGACTTTCCCCCCAACTCTTATGAGTTAGCCATGAAAGAATGCATTATCATTCCTACAGCTGAAGTCTAGTTTTGGGGAGGTAAGACTTCAGGTAACACTTAATGTTCTCGTATTTCCTCAGTAATTTAATGATGGTGACAGTAACTCTTATTACTCCTAAAGTCAGAACCCTTGCATGTCAGGCCCAGGTTTGAGTTTCATAGGATTATACCATATAGGAGGATATTAAACTAAGTATCTCTGTATACTAGGGCCTTAGTAGATTATGCAAAAAGGTTTTTTAAAAATCTTTTTATGCAGTTCAGGCTGGCCTTGAGCTCACTTTGCAGCCCAGGCTGGTCTCAAACTAGCAATGATCCTCCTTTCCCAGCCTCCTGAGCCCTGAGATGACAGGTGTGTGCCACCACGCCTTGCTTGCAAAAAGTTATTTTTCCAGTGTTTCACTTCTACCCTTCCTATCCTTTTTTGTATTTTTTTTTTTACATTTTTTAAGCCATCAATATGAAACATTACATTACCTGTCAAAAGATACAAAAGTCAGAAGGTGACACTAATGCTGGACACAAACTTTGTTCAAAGCTGCTACTTCCCAGGCTCAATTGCTCTGCAGTTAGATCACAGGGTTTATCTTGGTCATAAATCCAATTGTTGTTTTCTTTCCAAAATAACAGCAAAGAATTTATTTGCATATCTTAAGATGTATAATTTCAGATTTATCTGCCTGTAGAAAGTCCAGCAGTTAAGACTATCTTTAGAACAAGTCGAACTAATTATTTTCTTTTTAACTTTGAAAATATTGTTTTATGAGACAAGTAGTAAACTCAGAGTAGGCTTAGACAAACTGATACTTTAGAAAACTCCTTTATGTAAAATCATATACTCTAATTCTTTTGAAACAAGCAATATATTACCAAAGGCTATATAGTTCCTCCTTATAAAACCTTTCCCCATCTAGCCCACAAAGCACTTAATTTCTACCTAATTCTTTAAAGACCCAGATACCTCCTCTTAGAAACTTCCTTGGTGAAAAAGGCAGGCAAGCAGATAAACCTACAGTGTAATAAAACCTAGTCCTGCCAATGGCAATCTGAATTGTGCAGCAAATTTGACCATTCTCCTACATCTTCACTAAACTGATACTGATTTACTGAACTTCTCAGTGTTAATAGGATTATATTCAATAGCTTATATAAAAGCCAAGCAGGCCTCAAATGATTTTCCCAACTTCATTCTTTTGCTAGCCCAGTATTTAGAATATGAAAAACTTCATGGTAGATGAGCCACGAATATATTAAGAATAAGCTAAGAGTTCAAGTAAGAGAAGATTCAGGGCTTTAGGAATTTAAAGAGGAGTTTGATTTTCACCTGGTACAGTAAGAGATAAAAAGATGTAGTAGATAGGCAGTACAGGTTTTGTGGGTAGGAAACAGAAACAAAATGTTTCTGCACCGTTAGTTCAATCTACACAGAGCTATCAGCTTAGAGCTAAGAAAGAACTAGAAAAAGAAACTAGCAAATGTAGACATACTGACTAGAGAAAAGCAGCAAAATAATTGAGTAATAAAAAAATTAATGTAACCAAATGTCAAATATTAACTTTTGGAAACCTCCCTGTACAAATAAGTATTTTTTAATTAAACCACAAGATAGTCAACTCTGACAACCTAAACCAAGAAAAGGAATAAGTAACATTTCTTAAAGTAACAGCCAAAGTCTATCACAGAAACTTAAGAATTCTTCAAATTTTTGGTTATATATTTTTTTCAAATACTGAGTCCATAACTTACATATGTTGATCCAAGCGAACTAAAGAAAACAAATTTATTATTAATATCAATGCTGATAGTGTAGCAAAATTAGGAAATCTCAAGGACTAGATAACTTACAACTCTCTAATATCCCTGTTGCTCAACAAGTAGGCCTCAGGGTGCAGGACTGACAACACCTGGGAGCCTGTGAAGCTTCAAAACTTCAAGAACTATCAACCAAGAATGAAGATCTGCACCTTAACAAGATGCACATGCATTTGTATGTGCACTGTAGTTTGAGAAGCACTGTCACAGACCCTTGAGATTAGACCACATAACACTGTTTTTACGGATGGGGGGGGGGGAATCAGTGGAGAGTAAACATTTTGTATACACAAAAAAATATGGTTTAAATATCATACATAAAGGAAAAAAACCAGTAATTTAGGGTGTATATAATGGTTCTCCTCAATGCATAAAACAATATTAAGCAATATTAAGCAATCTTGCTTAATATTTTCAACTAATACCAGTAAAAAATGAAGCTGTTAGAGACACACCTGTTTTATCTCCCCTTCATAACCCACTTTTGAAAATGTTTTCCTTTTAAACTAAAAAACACATAAAACTTCCTTTTCAAAAAACTCCAGCAACATTATCTTAAACTATCTAGTCCACTGCACAGCAAACTATAACATTCTGTGTTGCTAATTGGCCCCAATTAAAAAATCTAATAATATAATCTACAATTATGGAATAGAAATACCTTACAATGCAGTCAACAACTGTCAAGGTTCAAGACTTTCTTTTTGTTTTTCTAAAGAAAAAGCAGGATGGGGGTTAAGAAACTTTAGGGCAAGAGTGATCTGCAATGACATTAATAAAATATCTTTTGTGAACTCTTCTTTGCTGCCTAGACTGAGAACTCATCTATATTAAAGGAACTGACTGAAATTTTGAATTCTTCCCAATAAAATTATACACAGATAAAATGACAGAATTCTGTGCTGCTGTTATGCTAGTGACATCTGTGCCAACAAATCACCTTCATTACATAAGAAAAGTGAGAAAATGTATAC